TGACCATATATGGTATAGCTGCAGTTGAAAGAAAAGCATATGCACAGACCTTTACTCTATCTAACATTTAAATAGGATTTAGTGTGTAAGGAATTGAACCCTTTAATCCTAAGATATTTTCTGATAAGTAGTTTTTGGCTTTATATGTAACAGACCGTCCAAAACCTATAACTGCTAACCCATTTCTAGGTATTGTTGATCCAGTTTCGTCTAATGTTCATGCCTTCGTTTTTAATTTAAACATTTTCATCATTTACCTATTCAGCCGATATCTGACCCTGGAAATCAACTATCCAGTGTTTCTACTAATATCTCTCATCAAGCAAGTCTAGAAAAAAATTAAGCCTTTTCCGAAAGCTGGATCAAGGAAGTCCGTTAAAGGACATAAGCGTCAGCGCACCCGAGTACTCACAGACATTTGTTGTTCGAAATGAACTAAATAAGCTTCAGGAAATGAAAAATCTCAGTCAAAAACGATAAAAATATGAAACGCAAAATAAGATCTTTATGGCAAGAATTAGAAAACTTTATCTTGAGAATGATGAAAAAAATAACCTTTTAAGCAGCAGTAACAGTGATAGTACATAAGAATCACAACACTTTAAAAAGACATCTAAATACTTCTCCGAAAAATCAGCTAATTTATTTTTATTTATTGTATTATTTTATTTTAACTGGAATAATATAGAGAAATATTTATCGGATTATTTTTACGTACGGATTATTTTAATCGTGTCTCGGAGTTGTATGTAACTATACTTTTGTTTACTTCGAACTTTATGTTTATGATATTATGTTTGTATATCTTTACCGCCAATCTGTGATTGGTTACTTATAAATACTTTGTAGTTGTAAAATAAACATGTAAAAAATAATAATAATAATGTCTTGTAGTTTAACATCAGAAAATAGCAAAGAAGTAATTTCATACTTCAACAACTGAGGAAACGTTGAGCCGTAGTAAAAAATAACATTTTTTTATTGTTTTTTTTCTTTCTTCTAATAAGAAAAAAATTAATAACAAAATTGGTTTTTATTATCGACATTTTGGTGACTTAAAATTAATTCTTACACATTAATCATAAAAATTTGAACTCGGATCAAATATACATGCAGAGGATCAAGGGTGAATATAGGTAAGATCAAAGGAGCATACTGGTATGCACCCTTGGTCCCAATTGTGTGTTTTTTATAATTTAAAAACTACTTAAGATATTTTGGTAAAAAAATGATTGTTAAATTATAATAAGTTATAAAGTTTGCTATCATGCACTGTTACTTTAGAGATCGAAATGAAAAAATATATTCAGTAAATTGGCCTGAGAGATTTTTAGGATCATAGGTGCATATCTCCTCAACTTTAGAAAAAAATACACTTTTGCCTGTCAATCGGATTAGAGCTGCCTAAAATCTCATTTGCCGTATGATTTGCTAAAATCTCATTTGCCGTAGAACTTGCAACGATTATATTGCTTGCCCGTAGTATATATGTATAAAAAACAATAAATAAAAATAAATATATAACCTGCATATAGTGAGCACAGATTAAGGTACTATCTCATGAACAGCAAAACGCCACAAAAAACCGTTAAATAACGTTATCGTATTTTTTTAGATTTACAAACAGATTGTACGAATATAAAATATATGTTCTTAAATCCGACCAAAACATTACAAATTCTTATCTAGAAATTTATTTACTAATATAGAAATTTACTAAAAATTGCTTAAAAAAAAACAGAACAACAAAATAACTCTAAAACAGTTAACAAACTTTGATGAACTTTTAAGTTTTTAATTACCTTCGATTACTTATGACACTTTGCTTATGACATAGTCATAAGAAATACTTTTTATGACTATGCTTATGACACTTTGCATATGGCGCTTTTGAAAAAATATCATTGTACAGTTTTAAAAAAAATTGGAATGTATTTAAATAATTTTAAGTTATGATAATTAGGTGGTATTTCTTTGAAAACTATGTCACAACAATATGTAATAACTGATATTGATTTGAAATATTAACCTCTAATTGTAATTAGAAAGTCTGGTAATATGCTGCAAACATTTCTTAATATAATGTAGCAAGCCACCAATTTGCTTTGATTGGCTAAAAAGTAGTAAGATTTTATTCAAAAAAAACTGTTATTTATTTCTACTTCCACTACTAATCTTCAAAATTATATTCACCATGAGAAGTGTTGGGAAGAGGTCTACAACCTTAACAATGACGTTAAGTCGGAGGAGTCGGGTGAAGGAAGTGAAGACTTCTTAGCCAAGCTTCAATAACTTTGCCGCGTCCGTTTTACAATGTAATGTGTTGGAATGTGAGTTTTACGTGTTGAAATGTAAAACTCATATTGCAACACCTAATATGTTGAAATATTTTTGTATTTTATATCACATTGGCGTCTCCTGAAAAATAAAAATAAAAAGTTCTCTAATTCTCCAAGATATTTTAAGACTTTCAGATCCTGGTGGGGGATTTCATACTCTTATCCCCCTCCCCTGGATCCGTCACTGATTCCAACCAATGCATAATTTTTTAACATTGCATAATATTTCAACCAATGAATTATCTTATAACAACTAATCTTTTAACAACAATATTATGGTCAAAGAAACAACACCTAAGTCAAAGCTACAACGTACATGTCGTCCCATTGACAACCTGACTACTTTTTTAAAACACTTTAAAACTATAATTTTTTGGTCACATAAAAAAAAATAAAAATAATAAATGCAAATTGCATATGTTATACTTTTGAATTTTCTTATTTCAAATTTTAAATGGTTTAAGTTGGTTTGATTGTCTAGGTAAAAAATGCCTGGAAGCAAAAAGTGGTCAGATGTACAACAAATACCCCGATTGTCTTATATTCTCTATAATCTATACATTTATTTATACTTAAACAAAACAAATACAAGTATCTTACTTTAAAGTATGGTAAAAAGCAAGTATGGCGCAAGCCTCTTAATTCAAAATATTTTTTGCTTTTTCTATTACAAAAGTCATTAAAATTACCATTTTACAAGTTACCATAAACTCCGTAATAATTACGATCTAGTTGATCATTTTCTTTAGTTTTCTGAAGATATTGAGTCATCGCTTTAAACAAAACGGTATGCATTCTTTCTATAAACAACGAATTTCTTTCATCTGAATCAATCATTGTTTTGCTTAGTACTCCTAAGTAACATATTTTCACATTTTTGTACGTGAATTGAAAGTCTTTAACGAAAGTTTTGGTGACAAAAATTACCGGAACATCTTCGCTTTTTTTTAAACATATTATTTCTTCAATCAACTTTTTAATTTTTTCTGTTTTTTTATTTTCTTGAACAAAGTAAAGTATGCCATCAGCGTTAGCGCTTGCGGCTTTGTAAGATTTTGATGCTTTTTTTCTGTAACTGCTGTCGATATCTTTTAGCTTAAACGAAAAAATCGTATCCAACTTTGGTAGAATTTTTCCGACAATAGATTCAATATGAAAATATCTCTTCGAAAAATCATTTTTTTCTTCTGAAAATAGTATTTTTGGTTGATGACTACAAGTTGTGAGCAGCTTAGGTTTTTGTTGAGATTTTACATTGTGTTCAAGGCATACTCTGGTATAAGATTCCGACTTGAAATCAATATGGTTTTTAAAACTTGTTTCATAAATAAATTTTTAATATTTTCAGAATCACCGATTACAGCCAAGCTTCGAATATCAGAACTTGTAGCTGCAGTTTGATTACTAATAAACAGTTTTATTATGGATTTAGCAAAACTTGTTTGCATTTTTTTTTTAAAACTCCCGCAGTGTTTATTTGCAAAAATAACACAGTGCCACAGTGTTATTTAAAAAAACTTTTTCTTAAAAATATTTATTACTTTTTAAAGCTATATTTTTATATAACTTTTATTATACATGTATTTCTATTTCAAAATGCTTTGAAATAGAGGTACATTTAATCTTTTTAACAATTATATTTGAATAGCATAATTCGAATAAGTTAGTAATTAAGCTTGTATTACAAATATTTGAATGTTAAATTTTTGGTAATTCACTAAAATATTACTTGAATATAAATAATTAATATACAATAAAATACATCCGTAGTTATAATGTATACACAAATAAAAAGAAATGCGTTTATAATCCTAGTATGTGTACTATGCATTCTAGTTAATCAAAAAAGTTTTACAATAGAAAAACGATAAGTGCTTTTAGAAACTTCTTTTTAAGATCAATATGCTATATTTTTATCAGTTTAAACCATCTGGAAGAACCATTATGCCAAGTTTATTTTTAGAAGTCAGTGGTTGTTTCACGTTTTAATATTCTGTATTTTATTAATAAAGTATATAATATATATATGAGTCATGATTAGCAGTTTTAAAGACTTTTTTTAAGATTAATATTAGTTTGGATCATCTGGAAGAACTATTCCCAATAAGAAAAATGACGTCGGAACAACGTTGTTCTAACGTCTTTCGTATCGTTGGAAATACGTTGGCATGATGTTATAAATGAAACACCGAAAAAATGTCATTTTACTAACGTTATTACAACGATGTAAAATGACGTGGTGACAACGTTACATTTTAGCTAAGTGACGTCGGAAAGACGTTAGAGCAACGTTAAATTTGAAGAAAAAAGACGTTATAAGGACGTTAGGCTAACGTTATATTTTAGCTAAAATGACGTTGAGCCAACGTCTTTTCTATCGTTTTTTACACGTTGGAATAATGGCATATATGAAACATAGGTCAACGTTATATTAACAATGTTGCGAAACGTTGTAAGAAAAACGCCCTCTAACGTTTTTCTATCATTTTTGATGTTATTTCTACACTGCAAAAAACAATAAAGGACAATTTTACACTGTATCAAGCTATATTTCTTTTTATTTATTTAGGTCATACACGATTATTATACTAGTCAGGGCAAATAATTGAATACGGAAATTAAAGACTAAAAATAAATAAACATTGCATCACTTCTATTCCAAAATTTTAAAATTATATACAATAACTTAGAATGAAACTAGTTTGATTTTTACTTTCTTAGCAAATCTCAAATAATTCGCGTATTCTTTGTTTGACACTAAAAGACAAATATATATAAAGAAACATACAGTTTCGTAAAGTTACAAACATCCAATTAAAAGCATTTTTAAGAACTAAATAAAAAACATTCGGAATAAATAAATAGAAATGCCACAAATACCAGAAATTGCGCTAACTTTCTATTTGATGCTAACTTGAGTTTTTCTGCTTTCGAAAAATTATCGACTGTAAATCGTTTAGCAACACTATCTGAAATAGAATAAACATACCTCAATAAAATGCAAAACTAATGAAACTGCCTCCAAAATAATTTTAATTGAATTAATTTAAAACACACAATCATGAAATAATGGAAAAAAAATATGTCTAGTTTTACCCTCAAAATATATATAATATCTTTGAGTTCAGATTTCTGGAAAGTTATTTTTTTACAAGTGTTATTTTGGCAAGATATTTTTTTATAACATGAATTGCATGGTAAATAAAGAAACTGAAATGGTACATTTTCACTAAGCAAAAAATCAAAAATTGTTCTTATAAATAGCTCTCTTTAAGACTAATGATTACTTTGTTAGGTGTTTTTTCTTCCAATCCGAACTACTTATATTTCACTTAAACCCTTGACCATTTGAGCAAGTGGCATCGGAAATAAAATTTTAAAAAATTAGATTTATTCAATATTGTTTTTTCACAATTTTGTTAGGCTGCAACCAATCTAAAATGTTTAAAAATATTTATAGGCTGAATAAATAGGATGACATAATTTGTAACAGCAAATGATTTAGATTCATTTTAATAAAGTGATTGTAAATTTTTTGCTGTTTCAAAAGCTGGGCGTTAAAATATATTGTCTAGGTTTTGTTCTCTAAATCATGTTAAACATATTGAAATCAAACTCACAAACTGTTGAGCAAAACCTTTGTTACCAATTCTTAGTGTAAACTCGTTCAAATATTCTATTGTTAAGTTTAAGTTTAAGATTAAATAATGTGATTATGTTTATTTAAGTCGACTTGTTCTGATTTTAAACACCTTGATAACTTAGTACTTTAACTTTGCACATAAAAATTGAAGAAAAATAATAACATTAAAAAATATATATTTTAACTTGGCATAAGTTTTATTAAAATATAGGATTAATTAGTTTTCGGTTAGAAAGGTAAGAGAATAAGTAAATGATAGTACTATGACTATATATATACATATATATATATATATATATATATATATATATATATATATATATATATATATATATATATATATATATATATATATATATATATATATATATATGTATTTTGGTATAACATATCAATTTTAAAAACTATATCATATCACATATCATATGCAAAAACTATACACAAATATATTTGACATGTACTTTATTGAAACACTTCGGAGTTATTGAGTTGAGAGGGGGTTATAACCACAATTGAAATAAAAAGGAGCCTCATCAACTGCAGCACCCTTTGTGGCCTTTATGGCCAAAATCAGCTCTTTCTTTCAACTCTGAAATTAGGGAAACATGAGATTGTGATTCATTTTGAAAATTAAATACTGACTGAGTGTATATCATCTAACACTTTGTGTGTATTGATTTAAATAAATATTTTGTTTATCATGACTAAGATCTAGTGTAAAATATAGATGTTCTATATTATATAAAATATAGATGTATTGCTGTTTCTGTAGGATATGTTTTTTGCTTGCTTCATAGTGAGAAGTTATGAGTTCTATCCTTACCGTGTTCCTGGTAGTAACCCGGAGGTGAATAACAATAAAAAAAATTAAAAAAATAACTTAATACAAATACATAAAAAATTGTTTACCCTTTTTCGTGACTCGAGACTCAAACTTATGAGAGTCAGTGTTAGTTATAATATTGTAGGAATAGCATGATATGATTATACCAATATACAAATTCGTAAAAGAAACACATTACACAAGTTATAAGAAGCTTATTAGGTAATTTCTAGTCTAGTTCCACAACAAACTAAAAAACTTTCCATTCAAATAAATAAAATATATATTATGATTAATAATATAATATATATATATATATATATATATATATATATATATATATATATATATATATATATATATATATATATATATATATATATATATATATATATATATATATATATATATAACATATTTAAAGATATATACTGTAACAAATGAAAATGAGAAAATTTTTTAAAGTGGCTTAAATTTTGATAAACGTCAAAACAGCGGAATAACTTTTTGCGCATACGCACAGTAGAACAGAGTGTGTCAAAATACCAAAAATTAAATGTCGGCATTTCATGGTAAAAATTGATCATAATGGTGAAAATTTTTTATAATGGTGAAGACTAGACATATGCGTCTTCTCGTATCCTTTCGGAAGTTCGGCTTCTCACGGTAGAAAACGATAATTTTCGTTTCGTGCCGTTTTTACGAAACAAAAAAATTCATATCATTTTGTATCGTCTTTTTACAAAACAAGTAAAGCTTGTTTCGCAAAAATACATTACAACATTTTATAATTTCCCCGCTCCAAACAGGTATTTTACAATTCCCACAACCCGAGCAATTCATGAACTATAATATTTAAACAGAACAAATGCGCGTTTAATACTCACTAGCTTAATGTTTCGTAAACAAAAGTTTAACTAAAAAGTTTAACTTTATTTTGTTTCGTATTTCGTACTTTACTTAGTTTAAGCTTATTTTATTTCATTTCGTACCGGTTTTCACAAAACAAGAAATTATTGTTTTGTTTTGTACTGTATTTTTCACGAAACAAAAATATTTTGTTACGATTTGTACCTTTTTTTGCGAAATTGTATATAAATTGTTTCGTTTTGTAACGGTTTTATCGAAATATTATTTTTTTATCATTTCGTCTCGTTTCGTTTTGTACCGTTTTGAGACGCAGATGCTTAGTGAAGACATGTTCATTAGAGGAAATATGTAGTTAAAAAAACATTAAATATTAATATGAGCGTTATTTTATGAGGTTATTTACACGTTAGTTTGACATGTGTTCCAAAACGCTATTTTGCATTTTTAAATTATCACTTTTCTAACGCTACTATTGTTTTAAATTAACTTTAATTTTTAAAAAATTATTTTAATTAGCAATGCTTTTTTCGCTCAGACTTTTAAAAACAGTTTAACGTAAGTCTAATCATTAGTTTTTATGGATCGAAAACAGACAGTTTTCGATATTTTTTTTTTGCTACTAACCTTTACTATTAGGTATCAGATAAACCAACATCCAATATCCTCCAAACATTTGATTATGTAAATCTCATGCTAAATGTATGTAAATAGCCATGCATCATAAATATTATGTAACATTATGCAAAAAAAAAGTTGTAACAAAACATCGGTCTTCGGTTAATGGTCAGTTGATAAGAAATACTGAACATGTAAAAAATATGTTTCGTACACAAAGAATATCTACAAAATCTTTCATTACTGTTATAATATATAAGTTCTGTAAATATAAATTTAAAAAAGTTATTTTATGACAAATACATGTATTGAGAAGTAATATTTTTGATGTTTATTCTGATAAAAGTGTCCATTAAAAATATTTCGTATTTTTCACCAAGATTTAATTTTTTTAATTTTTTTTTTAATATTATATAATTACATGTTTATTATTTTATTTTTAATAATAATAATTGAAGCTGTGTTCTTGAGAGTTTCAAGAAAGAATCTAACAACTGTAGATGTTAGATTTTAACAACTGTTTTTCGCTAAACTTTTTAAGTTTATTTTTAAAATCAATTACTGAATTAGCGTTAACAACTTCACTGTCCAAACGATTCCAATTTTCAACTATACGGTTCGTGAAGAAATGATGCCTCGGCAAAAAGTTTTAAACATACTGCCTTCGCAACCTGTGATTGTGTCCTCTAGTTAGTCTACCCAATACTTCTGGTTCACGATGCCAATTGATAGTATCAATTTTGTTCATGAATTTGTAGATTTGGATAAGATCACCTTTTTCCCTTCTATTTGATAGATTTTGTAAGTCCATTTTCTCTAATCTTTGCTCGTAACTATCTTTCTTTTTATTTTAGCCAAATTTTGTAGCTTTTTGCTGAATTTTTTCTATCGCCGAACGAGTGACATATATAACAATTTTGTTGATGTTTCATATGGATAGAGGATTGCGTGCTTTAACATACCCAATTTTTGATTCGCTTTACTTACCATTTTTTCAATGTGGTCTTCCCATTTTAAATTGTCTGAAATATAAACACCAAGGTCTCTTTCCAATGACGTTACTATTAGTCCATGTTAAATAATCTCTGTTTCTGTAGCATTGTATTTTAAATTATACTTTATTTTCGGATTATCACGATCAAAATGCATGATTTTACATTTATCTTTATTAAAACTGAAAAGCCATCTTTTAGTCCAGTTAAATAAGATGTCAAGATCAAACTGTAGAGAGTTATTTATTTTATTTTTTTCTAGAATTGCAATTATTTTTAAATCGTCTGCATATAGTTTTGCTTTATTATTCAACTTTTTTTAAATCATTTATATAAATTATAAAAAGTAAGGGTCCTAAGACCGATCCTTGTGGTACCCCACTACGAACTGTTTCCCATTTTGATTCAAACAGTCCCAAAACAACTCTCTGTTTTCGATTTGCTAAAAAAGCTTTACACCATTGCAACAATTTTCCGACAATACCAAATGACTTAAGTTTCAAGAGCAGCCTGGAATGCGAAACTGAATCAAATGCCTTAGAAAAATCTAAAAAGACAACATCAACACATTTTCCACAATTTATTGCTTCTGTTATTATGTCTAATGTCTCAAGAAGGTTTGTTACACAATTTTTTGATTTAATGAATCTGTGTTGTTCTGGTATTATTAACTTATTTTTATTTAAATGGTTCATTATTGTATCCTTAACAATACTTTCCATTACTTTACAAACAACAGAGGTCAATGAAATTGGACGGTAGTTACCTGCATTCAACCTATCCCCATTTTTAAAAATTGGAGTGATATTCGCTTTTAACCAGCTTGTATTCAATGTTCCAGTTAGAAATGATTGGTTAAATATCATACAGAGTGGTCTAGCTAAACTGTCAGCACACTTACTTAAAAACATTGGATGAATTCTATCGATACCTGGGGACTTGTGCACATTTAGATTCAATAATCGTTTTTTAATATCTTCTCATTTAACAATGGGGTTGGACAAATTTTTTCTGTTATATTTTCACATGTCGGCATATTAGTTAGGCTTTCGTTTATGAATACAGAATTGAAAAACCGATTTAACTGATTAGCAATAACTTGACTGTCAGTTGATATTTCATTGTTTTCAATTGAAATTGCTCTTATATGGTCTTTAGCTTTTAGTTTACTGTTAATATAAGCATAAATTTGTTTTGGATTTTTTTTTGATTCTGTTGCAATTTTATTTTCATACTTTTGTATTGTAATCTTTACAAGTTTTTTAACTAACTTATTTTTTAGTTTATATTCTTCCTTAAGATCTAAATTTTTGAAATGAGAGGCTTTGTATCGATACCAAAGGTTACGCTTAAGTCGAATTTCGTGTTTTAATTCTTTAATCATCCATAAGGATCTTTTGCTTTCAGTTGTTTTTTGATTAAATGACGGTATGAAATCTTTACAGCCGTATTCAATAGTTCTAATAAAACTTTCATAGCACTGATCAACATTAAGTCCAGTAAACTCATGACTCCAGTTAAATTTATTTAAATATTTTGAAAATTCATGATAATTTCCTTTCATGTATACTCGCTTTGTAGTAATACTTTCATTTTTGCGATTATGTAATTGATAATTAAAATTAAAATTTAAAACATGATGACCTCTTTTTGTTTTCCCCAAAGGATCCATATGTACCAAGCTGGATATGCGAAAAGGAGAAGCTGTAAATACTAAATCTAATATATTTGTTAATTTTGTGTCATTTAATTGAAATGTTGGTTTTTTTACATGTTGTGTGAGATAACATTCTTCAATGCATTCTAGAAACTGTCTCTCTTTTTCTCCAATGCAGACACTTTCATAACTAGAATTCCATATACTATTCAAGGATGGAAAGTTGAAGTCACCACATATCAAAACCTCAGTATATATTTTAGTTTTTGAGAAGTAATTTTAACTTTCTTTAATAGAATTGATTACATTTTGAAAGTTTACTAAATCATCACTTCCTGGTCTATAAATACAGTCACATAATATGCATTCATTGCTCATTTTAATGGTACACCATATCTGCTCAATATTTTTATTATTATAGGGTTCATTATTGACTTCAAATGAATCAATTAGGTCATTTACATAAATACAGACTCCACCACCTCTGCTATTCATTCGATCTCTGCGATAAAGGTTATAACCAGGTATAATTGTTGCTGAAGTATCATTCCACCATGTTTCTGTTATGAAAATTATATCTGGAGAGCTTATTTCAGTTTCAGCTATAACTTCATTTAATTTATTTTTTTCAAATGATGTAGCATCGGTATATAAACATTTCAAACTATTTGAGTTGTTTTGTGCATTATCATTTATTTTAATTTTAAAATCTTGGATACCGGTTACAGTTCTTTTAAACATTAGAATGTTACTTATTTTGTTTATGCATTTTATATATAAATATAGCTATTCTAATAAAAAAAAACTACGAAAATAATTTTGGAACAAAAACTTGATTTTGTCTCACTGTGCGCAATGTCTGAGAACAAAATATTTGCAATGCGCTTGTGTGAGCTCAGGGACAATCCCTACTCGTGTTTTAAAGTTCTAAGCCGGACAAGAAAAATTTATTTTAGAGTTTGGTTGAAAACGTGAAATAGAAAAACGTAAAATTTTTTAAACATTTAGTCACAAAGTTCGAGTTTTTTTGTGTGTGTGTGTGTTTAATTTCATATCATTACATCGACTAACTATTTTTGTTTAAATGTGAAATACTAACTTTATATATATTCATACATAATAAATTTAAAAAAAGCTTTCATAATTAGTATATATATACAGTGGCGGAACTACTGGACGCAGGACCCTGCGTTGCGGGGGGGCCTACCAGCTATAGGGAGCCCTCATATAAAAAAAGTTATACTCTCAATAATATTTATACTATAAAACTCTTTTCCGCAAAAAAAACATTCTTTTGCGGGGGGGCCCAAATTTTGAAGTTCCGCCACTGTATATATATATATATATATATATATATATATATATATATATATATATATATATATATATATATATATATATATATATATATATATATATATATATATATATATATATATATATATATATATATATATATATATATATATATATATATATATATATATATATATAAATACAGTGACTTCCAAAACTTAAGCAACTTCTTTGGAAACAACATAGCTAAATTAAAAAATCTCTATTTATAGATACAAATTATGTTATTTTTTCATTTAACTTTGCAAAGTCATACTTATTAATACAATCAAAACAAATTCTTATAATAATTTTATATTTAACGCAAAAAAATTATAGTAAATTGCGTGCAAAATACGAGTATTAGTAATTTAAAAAATTTAAATAGACTTCAAAACAAAAGCAACTTTAACAATAAAACCAAAGTAAACAATAAATTAACCACAAAAATATATTTAATTTCAGTAAATCACTTTAAGTAGATAAACTTCTTTTTTTTTATTAGTTAGTTTGTTTTGAAAGTGCAACTTTATTATTAAAATATCATTTTGTTGTAACAATAAACTTTGATATATAATTCTAACATTTTAGGATTAAATAATGGCAAGAAATAAATATAGTAACTTATCTAAGCAAAAAGCAATTGCTGATTTTAGTGATGTAGTTCAACAACATGAACTATCTGTCAAGTATAATGAGGAAAAATTAGTGATCAACCAAAGAATCAGCAGAAACAAAGTCAGAGGCACTGTCGAAACAAAGCACAACGGGGGTCGTCCCCCCAAAACATCAAAAGTTACTGATCGTAGATTAGTGAGATTTGTGAAAAAGCATCCTTTTGCTACTGCTCGAGATGTATTTAATGAGTTAGAACTAAAAGTTTCAGAAAATACTGTAAAAAGACGTCTTGATATAGCAGAACTATTTAGTTACAGAGCTGCAAAAAAACCGTTTATTTCAAAAAAAAAATAGAAAAGCTAGATTAGAAATTGCCCATGCTCATAAAAATTGGACAGTAGAACAATGGAGTCACATTTTATGAGGTGATGAGTCAAAATTTAACCTGCATCATTCAGATGGAGAAAAAAAACGTAAGACGCCCAAAGTGTAAGCGAATAAACCCAAAGTATACAAGAGCTGTTTTTAAACATGGTGGTGGTAAAGGAGTGATGGTTCTAGAATGCTTTTCGGGTTTATCCGGTTTGGGACCATTATTCCAAATCAACAGCATTATGAACCGTTTTGTATATAAAAATATTTTGGAAAAACAAATGGTTCCTTTTGCTGATGATAATATGTCTTTAAGATCGCCATTCCAGCACAACAATGACCCTAAACATGCTTCTAAACTTATTAAAACCTTGTTTAATACTAACCAAATCAGTTTAATGAAATGGCCAGCTAATTCACCAGACCTCAACCCCATTGAAAACCTTTGGAAGCAATTATATATATATATATATATATATATATATATATATATATATATATATATATATATATATATATATATATATATATATATATATATATATATATATATATATATATATATATATATCGGTCGGCATCTGGTCGGCAAAAATTATTTGATATAAAGCTCTGACCATAAAACATAAAAATGAGGTCGGAAATTTTTAGCCGACCTCAAACACTTTCAGGTCAGCAGTTAGGTCGGCATTGCCGGATGCTGACCCTAATTCCGAGGGTTGTATGTATACAAATTTAGCGTTTTATGTATACAAATCCCTTAATTAAGTAAGTAATAAGTCAAGTTAGTGAGTTTAACAAACATTTTTTTTTTTATATAAATTTTATGCTTTGCCGAATATATAGCATTTACAAATTTGGTAAATTAAAAATGTCATATTTACAAGTCTCGTGAGTCAAAATATATAATTTATATATATAAATATATAATGAAATTTATAAATAAATAGTACAAGACGGACTTCAAGAAGATCTTAATGATCTTATCACGAAGCCCTTACAATGTGATTGGTATATATTATGTTAAATATACAATGTGATTGGTATATATTATGTTAAATATACAATGTGATTGGTATATATTATGTTAAATATACAATGTGATTGGTATATATTATGTTAAATATATTTATATGTTAACTACAACTATTTTCGATAGTCTTTAAATTGAAATAAACTCATAATAAAAATTAAAATCAAAATAAGCTCAAAATAAAAATCAAACATAACAAGATGCAGCATAATAACTAAAATTGTTAAGAAAAACAAAATTTTTTTGTGTGGAATAAACAATTTTTTTAAAGTTTTGTTTGAGAAAGGTAAGAGTCATTTAGATAATTCACATAAGCGAGTCAGTTTACTTTGTTGTTGATATATATTTAATTTAATTTATAGTCTTAGAAAAATTCAGAGTATTTGTTTAAATTCAATATCAGATTTTTTAAATTTGTTTAAAGACAGGATTTTTTCTTATAAGAAAAAAGATTTTACATTCAAACTTTTATTGTCTTCAAAATTTATCAACGGGACTAGGGCCCAAATAAGCAGCGGATGGTGTGAAAATAGTTTTAATAAAAACTTAATAGAGACTTGAAAAAGAAAAAAATCATTAGGTTACCATCCGTAGATTTCCTTTTACAAAGTAAATAATTTAATGGGGTGTTAAAAGACAAAAAAATTAACTTAAAATTTTAAAAAGTAGAATAAAAGTGTAATAACTTTGTTAACTCAAAACAATGATTTTGAAGATTTTTTTATTTTCTACCTCTTACAAAAAATTATTGAAATAAAATTGCATTTGCAATTTTATTTCAATAATTTTAAGATTGCATAAATAAAAAGTATAGAATAGACTGACTTTAAGTAAATAAGGAATATTTATATAAATACTGAAAAGTATTTAAGTAAATATTCCTTATTTACTTTAAT